TCATTTTCTGAAAACCGATTGGGGCATTACTATCTGGAATGACTGAATATGGGACCTATAAGATGCTTCGATCAACCACATACTGTAGCTTGACTTGCAATTCTGGTTGATTGTGGTTTTATCTATGTCATCAATTCTTGTTGATTGTGCTTTTGTCTATGTTTCAATTCTGGTTGATTGTGCTTAAATACGGTCTTAGTCATCAATTCTTGTTGATTGTGCTTTTGTCTATGTTTCAATTCTGGTTGATTGTGCTTAAATACGGTCTAAGTCATCAATTCTTGTTGATTGTGCTTTTGTCGATGCTTCAATTCTGGTGGATTGTGCATTTGTCTATGTCATCAATTCTTGTTGGTTTTGCTTTCGTATATGTTTCATTAAAGAGAGGGGGTCTCCTAAAAACACAATTAGAGTAACCCCCTGATTTTTTCGTGTTATTTGTTGTAAAACAAGTTTGTTTATCAACTTATCAATTCTGAGGCTTGAATTAATTAGTTAACTGTATAAATTCGATGATTGTTCCTAGCCATGAATTTCCACTTACATCAATAGAAATTCAAATTAAATTTAAAAAGCCCGCTCAAATTTGTTCCAGTCTGATTGGCTTTTCCCTTCAGATTATTTTGGCTTAGAGAAGCCATATCTATTACTTCTAAGGGGTTACAATATAGAAAATCCCCCAAAAAACATTGTATTCTGTTTTCTACTTATTGCGTTCAATTCTGACAGTTGGTTGTTCTTTTGGTTGTCCTCAATATATTGTCGATATCGTGCTTATGATTTGGTCTCAAGATATATCTAAGGTATATATGATGCTTTATGAGCAATTATATTGGGACATTACTGATTGTCCAGAATAGAAATCTGGACGACTCGATCCCTTTAATTCTTGTTGATTGTGCTTTGTTTATGTTTAAATTCTGGTTGAGTCAGGTGCTTTGTCTGTGTTTTGAATATGTTTATTGCGCTGTAATGTTGATTGTGGTTGATTGATCAGGGTGTGTCTATGTTTCAAGTCTGATTGATTGTGCTTTTGTCTATGTTTCAAGTCTGATTGATTGTGCTTTTGTCTATGTTTCAACTTCTGATTGATGATGTTTTTCGTCTGTGATTCAATTCTGGTTGATAGTGCATTTTCTTTGTTTCGATTCTGGTTGATTGTGTTGTAATATTGACTGATTATGCTGCGTCTATTGTTATCTCTTGAAAGGCCATGATAAGGATTACCAAAAGAGGTGATGAATTTATTGCTGCTGCGATAATTTTGTGCTGAGCCAACAATCCAAGACATTGCAAAATGATCCGTCCCTATCGTACCGGAAATGGTCCACCGGAAGTAGGTAAAATGAATATTATTTTCTAGATTTAGCTCAAATAACTCGTAATTCTCTATATTAAGAACTTTTAATCTCCTATTATTATAAATCATGAAACAACAAACTGATTTTGTCAGTTTACGACACATATGGTTACGTAAACATGGGAACTATTTCAGGGCTGTCAACTTGGGACCACCTAATATGAGTGACTTCAAAATGTTGGACACCTAAGTCCAAATCTGAACACTTTTGTCCAAATTCTGAACACCTTTGGCCAACTTTTAAACACCTTTGGCCAAAGTTTGAGCACCTTTGCCAAACTTTGAACACCTCAAAATTTTCGCGCTCGCTACGCTCGCGATGTCGTCAACGGGGGGGGGGGGGGGTAGGTACGAAAAATTTCCAATGAACATGCGTGACACATACGGGATTCGCGTGACAAATCCGAACAAATTGCGTTCGGTTTTTTCCGGCGTTCGTATTTTTACCGTATCGTAAACATATTTCGAAAAAATTTCTACAGAAATATTTTTGCTTGACATTTGACAGGTAAAATGCGTATTTTGCGTGACATTTTCTGTCACGCAAAAAAAACTGGCGTGACTTCAAATTCTTCAGCAAATGCGTGACAAATACGCAAATTGCGGGACAGTTGACAGGCCTGCTATTTATTGCCGTAGATCTACAGACTCACGGACCTCTGCCAGATTACCTCTTCTTGGTAGGCTAGTGGCCAAACAGCCCTAATTCACGTCACCTTATTAGTCGATGGGCAAAAGGGCAAACGCCTGACCTTTTATCTCGAGTTATGGATTTATGTGACCTCACTGACCTAGAGTCCATTTCACTGCTTCATTTCGTCAGTAGAACGGCAAAAATAAGAAATTGGGAGACCATTGTGCAATAATATATGGAAAAGTATATTCATAATGTACATGAATGACATTTGTATATCTTGGATTGCTTCTAGTTTGACTTATAAAGTGTGTGGCCTCTTATATTTGGGTGTTTCTCTGCCATGTTATTTTCAATAAGATTAACATGGCTGAAATTCTTCAAATTACAAGACGGCACAGGCTTATTGTACAAAAAACTAAAAAATCTGAAATATACAAATGTCATTCATGTACATTATGAATATACTTTTCCATATATTATTGCACACTGGTCTCCCAATTTCTTATTTTTGCCGTTCTACTGACGAAATGAAGCAGTGAAATGGACTCTATCTGAGGTTCTAAAGCTATGTCTATGCTACATTTTGACACTAAACTCAATAGGGGCTAAACATCTACTTTTTGAAATAATTGGTTAATTGTGACACTACCCCCTCTCTCTGCCGACAGAAATTAAAATTCACAAAAATTAAGGCAAAATTAATACGCCACTTGACTCGAAATTTTCCTTCAGATAACCCAAATAAACGCATTTTCAGAAGAAATGGCATGTTGTCATTGCAAAAAGATGACAACTGTGCCTACATACTAGCTTACTGACTCGTCATGATCACAATTGTGTTGGGACTACATTCATTTTTGAAAACTACTTTTTTCTATTCAGCGGAAGTGACGTATTAGGGCATTTTGACCTAATAGCCACATGGTTGGATGATTTCTGGCTTGAAATTGCATTTTGCCAATTAACTAGAGTTTTTCAAGTAGTTTTGTGCAGTTTAAGAATATTCCGACAGCAATTATGAAAAATATGGCTACTTTATTACCCCTGGGGTCATTTTCCCAAGAACCCAATGGTTTTCCTTTAAATTTGACTAGTTTTTCATGAACATCATGAAATCTACTGCCTGATGGTGACATTTTACAATATCGTGACAAGAAATTGAGTATTTCATTGCATATTGCGATTTTTAGCCAAAATCACTGAACCGTGAACCAGAAAATTAGGCAAATTTGACCTACTTAGGCAAAATTTTACTAAAATTATCAATTTTTTGATATTTTATTCCATTCAACAACCTCCTGATTTGAAAAATGATGACAAATTTGATCAGTTTTGACTCTGGCCTAGAGAATTGGGACTTTTGAGATAGTTTTAACTCGAATTTAGTCATTCAGAGTTGACAAATACATCAAAAATTGACACTAAACCAATCTCTGACTGTGCCCCTGATATGTACGTTCATTCTTTGCTGGAAACCATAAGATGGAAAATTCAATCTTTATTATGAACAGCAACTCATTTGCTTCCCAATTTACAACAATATATGACATCTATAGGTGTCATTAAGGACAAAATTGTAGCCAAACATCGTCAAAATCAGTGTTTTTGGGGTAAAAAGCGAAAACTGTTGATTCAGCAAAAACATTAAATTTGTTCATGAAAATTCCCCTTTTTGCCTCCGTCCAAAATATGTTTCACACTAATAAACTTCAATTCTGGGCGATTCAGAGTAGTTTTAAAAAATTTTGGTCACTTCCACATGTGACTAATAGGCCAAACAGCCCTAATTCATGTCACCTTATTAGTCAATGGGCAAAAGGGCAAACGCCTGACTTTTTATCTCGAGTTATGGATTTATGTGACCTCACTGGCCTATCTGAGGTTCTAAAGCTATGTCTAAGCTACATTTTGACACTAAACTCAATAGGGGCTAAACATCTACTTTTTGAAATAATTGGTCAATTGTGACACTTCCCCCTCTCTCTGCCGACAGAAATTAAAATTCACAAAAATTAAGGCAAAATTAATACGCCACTTGACTCAAAATTTTCCTTCAGATAACCCAAATAAACGCATTTTCAGAAGAAATGGCATGTTGTCATTGCAAAAAGATGACAACTGTGCCTACATACTAGCTTACTGACTCGTCATGATCACAATTGTGTTGGGACTACATTCATTTTTGAAAACTACTTTTTTCTATTCAGCGGAAGTGACGTATAAGGGCATTTTGACCAGTGTCTAGGCTCAATAAATAATATACTCAAGGACAAGGCACAAAGTCTTCGGAAAATTTATATTTCCTTGATTTTGGAGTCAGTTAACAATAAATATCACATGTCATACCTCAAATGATGCGAACTGTTGTTAGCTTCGTCTCCAATCACTAAAACCACACATTCAAGAAACCGTCTGTTAATAAAAACATAAATAATCGAGCGTATATTTAATGGAGTGCTTCCGCTATTTCTATTGTTTATTATATATATATGTTCCAATATTTATTCCCGAAGTCAAATGCCTTTTCTGAGAATGTGACGCCACTCCCTGTCACTTTGAACATATTTCCCATATTTTGCAGCATTAACATTTTCTGCAAAATGTTTCACCCTGATTTTGATTTTATTCCAGACTGATATACAGAATATGCAGTGTGTGTTTAGTAACAAAATGATGTCAACTGAATAAATACATCAAAGACAAATGTCAGAATGCCAGTAACTGTAGTCTGGGGTGATTTAAAATGGAACACTAGATGTTGAAGTGAGGAAATTAGAATAACCTGATAGACTGACACAGCCTCAATGCAAACCAAACCATTGGAATTGTTTTCTCATATTACAATAGAGCTTGTGTATATTGAATATTTTTTTGCCGATAAAGAACGCATTAGATTAGTAGATGTTCACTACAGAGAAGAAAATGAATACAGAAGTCAGTGGAGTATGTTCAGAGGGGTGTCAACTAGAGACACGTGATCATTAGAGAGAGGTGTTCACTAAGACAGGTTTTACTGTACATCCATTCGAAGGAGGACATATGATTAAAGGCCTTGTATGAAGACTGATCCTATGGACTCTGGTAAGTTCCGGGATTTGGAAAATACATGTAATGTACTTTCCATTTAAGGTCAATAGATAGCTGTATTATTTTGTGCTTAATTTGGCAAGAAACATGTACTGTAAATTGCTTCAATTTGATCCCGTTTAAATTTGCCGAATTGATAAAAACTGTGACATCGAATTAAGTCTTAACACTTTTTTTTAAGAAATCCTGGTATAAAATGTCAATTTTGAAATATAACCAGAATTTGCCAAATCATATACTGTAGTTTTTTTAAAATTATTTATTTAATACAATTATTCGATACATTTACTACATTCAATATAACATTTCAATACATTCAATACACTTTTTTAAGAAATCCTGGTATAAAATGTCAATTTTGAAATATTTCACAGTCACAGATAAAGACTCAATGCTGGTCCAGACAAAACAATCTGATACCAGGAGAGATAAAGTTGCATTACCATTTGCAAATATTGAAGTGAGTTTAATACAATTGACAATGTGGATTATTTGCTCCTTTGTACCAGCTAGTCCTCCAATATCCGCATTTTACATAGTTATCCCATCGAACGAAGTTCGGAGGGATATAGGGAACGCCTCCGTCCGTCCGTCCGTACGTACGTCCGTACGTCCGTCCGTCCGTCCGTCCGTCCGTCCGTCCGTCCGTCCGTCCGTCTGTCCGTCCGGGCAATAACTCAAATACCGTTGGCCCGATTTTGTTCATATTTTGTACACATATACCCTATGGGGGTAGAAGTTCTGCTCGAAAGCCGATTTTCAAAATGGCCGCTCATTTCAAAATGGCGGCCATTTTAGTGACGATTTTACAGTAATTTAGGTGCAATATGTAAAACTGTAATAGCAATATGTTTTAAATGTAAAAAAGTTATAAAGGACATTAATAATGCTACAGCGATTTTTGCTGTAACTCAAAAAATAGTGGAGCGATTATGTTCATATTTGGTATGTGAATACTATAAGCATTGCACACTGTCTAAAGACACTTTTGGTAGAAGGCGGCCATTTTGAAAAATGGCCGCCATTTTAACGTATTTTACTATAACTCGAAAAGTAGTGGAGCGATTTTGTTCATATTTGGTATGTGAATACTATAAGCATGGCACACTGTCCTATGACACTTTTGGTAGAAGGCAGCCATTTTGAAAAATGGCCTCCATTTTAACATTTTTTACTATAACTCGAAAAATAGTGAAGCGATTTTGTTCATATTTGGTATGTGAATACTATAAGCATGGCACAGTGTCCAATGACACTTTTGGTAGAAGGCGGCCATTTTACGGTACTCATACCTTAACTCAAAAAGAAGTGGAGCGATTTTGCTCATATTTGGTATGTGAATACTATAAGCATGGCACACTGTCTATTTCTAATGACGCTTTTGGTAGAAGGTGGCCATTTTGAAAAATGGCCGCCATTTTAACATATTTTACTATAACTCGAAAAGTAGTGGACCGATTTTGTTCATATTTGATATGTGAATACTTTAAGCATGGCACATTGTCTAATAAAACTTTGGGGAGTAGTCGGCCATTATGAAAAATGGCCACCATTTTGATGTGTGTTATTTTACAAGTACGTGTGCGATTTTTCAAAAATTTTAGAGGTGGCTACTTAAAAGCATATTATTTCTTCTGATGACAACTTGGCTAGTGAGCAACCATTTTGAAAATGGTGGCCTTTCTGGTGTGTTGTTCTATGATATTTGCGCTTCGTTTGTAAAAATGCCAGCCATTTCTGTTCGATGGGATTCGCTACGCTTTGGCGTTGCCGTTGTTCTGGTTCAATCCTCCAAATTAAATAGCACCAAATTAAAGGAATTCACAATAAACATTTTAATTTGAAAAAGTTTAGGGCATTAGAGGAACAAGGAGGGATCATTTTGTTGATGCAACAACCGTTAAAAGCAATATCATTTGAAATTCTAGTACAGTACTTGTGAATCTGGTCATTACAAATGCAGAAATTGAACTTCACCAGAATTTGCCAAATCAAATACTGTAGATACTCTTACTAATGCCACAACTTCGATAACAAATAAACATAATGGGAAAACTCCCAGGGATTGCCAAAATATGTAAATTGGTGTTTCACTTTCTCCAAGTTCGCCAAAATAATTCATTGTTATTGTGTTTGTCTTCTGTTTTCCAGTTTGGGGTTTCAAGACATTGATCTATATGCTTGCAAACAAAATGTAAGTTAACAACCTGGGTTGGATGTCAGTTCTGAATCTACCATGGATGTCAGCTCTGAACCTACAATAGATACAATTGATGTTAACTTTGAACCTACAACGGATGTCGGTTCTAAACCTACAATGGATGTCAGTTCTGAACCTACAATAGATACAATTGATGTTAACTGTGAACCTACAACGGATGTCGGTTCTAAACCTACAATGGATGTCAGTTCTGAACCTTCAGTTAGTGTCAGTTCTGAACCTATACTAGACATCAGTTCTGAACCAACAGCGGATTTTAATAAGGAATTGGAAAAGTTTATCAAAACTGAACCTGAGGATGATGATGACAATGGGCCCTCATTGGATGTCAATGTTGATGAAGGTGAATTTGCTAGAGTTGAGCAAGAGGTGAATGTTGATGAAGCTGAATATATTGGAGATAACCATGTTCAATCTGATATAGATTCATATGACAAATCTGAAGCCATGATGGATGTTTATAATGAACCTGAAATTTTAATTAAAGTTGAATCTGGGATTGATGTGAATGAGGACTACACAAATGATGTCAATGAGGAATACACAAATGAGGCCAATGAGGAATACACAAATGAGGTCAATGAGGAATACACAAATGAGGTCAATGAGGAATACACGAATGAGGTCAATGAGGACACAAATGAGGAATACACAAATGATGTCAATGAGGAATACACAAATGATGTCAATGAGGAATACATAAATGATGTCAATGAGGAATACACAAATGAGGTCGATGAGGAATACACAAATGAGGTCGATGATGAACCTGGAATGATAGATTCAACAGAATATGATGATAACAATGAACCTGAACCAGAAGAGCAGCAACAAGTACCTGTAGATATACAAGAAAAAACTGACACAAAGGAAAAAACATTTAAATGTGTACATTGCGCTGAATCGTTCTCAAGCCTCGTTCATTTGGTAATTCACGAGAGCATTCACATTGGTGAAAAATCTTTCATTTGTTCTGTATGCGACAAAGGATTTAAAATGGCCGCTCATCTAAGAAGCCACGAAAAGCTACACGCTAATGAAAAACCACACAAATGTACAATTTGTGAGGAAAAATTTACACATGCGAATGCCTTGCAGTTGCACAAACAAATACACAATAGTGAAAAACTACACAAATGTATGATCTGTGACCAAACGTTTGTGCAGGCTGATGCCTTGGAAACACACAAACAGATACACATTAGTGAAAAACAACACAAGTGTACTTTTTGCGAGGAAAAATTTGCACAGGCTGATGTCTTGAAATTACATAAAAAAATACATACTATTGAAAAGCCATATAAATGTGATATTTGTGAAGAAAGATTTGGACAGGCTGATTCCTTGAAAACACACAAACAAAATCACAATCAAGAAAAAAGATTCACTTGTTCCATATGTGACAAAAATTTCACACAGGCTGCTCATTTAAAAAGGCATGAAAACATACACACAAATGAAAAACAATACAAGCGTTCCATTGGTGATAAAAGATTCACACAGGCTCGAGCCTTGAAAACACACAAACGAATACACACTGGTGAAAATTCATACACATGTCCATTTTGCGACAAAATTTTCACACAACATGTTAACTATAAATCACACAAAATGGAACACACGAGGAAGAAATCATTCACATGTAAATATTGTGACAAAGTTTTTAGCCATTCGGGTGATTTTAAAAAGCACAAACGAACCCATACTGGTGAAAGGCCATATACTTGTACAATTTGCAATAAAGGCTTTGCACAGGCTGGCACATTAAGGGCACATTGTAGAACACACACTGGTGAGACACCATACAAATGTACAATTTGTGAGAAAACGTTCACTCAAGCCGGATCCTTGCAAACACACATTCGAATACACTATGATGATAACCCACATATATGTTCTGTTTGTGACAAAAGATTTAATCATTCTGGTGATTTGAAAAAACATAAGATGACCCACACTGGTGAAAAGCCATATCAATGTTCTGTATGTGAGAAAAAATTTGGACAAGTGGGTAACTTAAAAGCCCATGAAAGAACACATACTGGAGAGAAGCCTTATCCATGTGTTTTATGTGACAAACGATTTACACAGGCTAGTAACTTGAGGGCCCATGTAAGGAAAATTCATAGCTGAAAACTCTTATCTTTCAAATTTTCAATTTGGACAATTTATTTGACTAACGATTTACACAGGCTAGTAACTTGAGGGCCCATGTAAGGAAAATGCATAGCTGAAAACTATATTCCAACTGTTTCAAATTAATGCTTTTCAATTAGAAAAATGTTTGACAAATCAGACAACTGCTAAATTGACTTTGTATAGATGCAGTATGATGGTATTGTTAAGGGTCCGTCACTTGGCCTACATATTTTCATTTATATGTAAAGAACGTACAATAATTTATATGTAAAGAACGTACAATAACGCTTTTAAATCTGAAACCTGAATCTTAATCTATATGTTGACAATATATTTTGTAAAACTCAAGTTAGTATGATACTGTTTTGTATAATTCCGAGTAATTTCGTTCAATACATTCCTGCCTACCTTTGAAGTTCCTAGATTCATATTCATGTAAAGTGTATTTTCAGTCTCACTTGGAAATGACACCATTCAATCTAAATTAGAGTTTAGATCATTTTTTGACAAAAATCTTTGCAATGTTGACACACGCATTTCTTAAGGAAAATGTTTACTTTGATAACTGTAATAAAGGAAGCCCTTGAAAATACATTGATTAACCTTTGTAAAACAGAAGGTGCAGACTGAATTTGTGATTTTGTGTATTTTTCAAAAAGCTTGTTTTATCAACCTGCTTTTGCTTCCTTTTATTTACCTTATTTCATATACTAAGTATCTTGGTTGTTATTTTGATTAGTTAACATTTTAGAAATAGTTTTGTCATGGTAATATTACATGTACTGTACAGGTAGTTTATTTAGAGGATAGAGTGAAAATTCCAGGTTTATTCATGTCAGAAATTATGTTTGTTAGTAACTCCACTACAATCTTAATTTTGTATGCACATTTTAGATTTGATTTTCAATTTTATAATATATAATCAGAAGTGGTGACATATGGTTAATAACTTTTTTGTGGACGTATCTTACAAATTCTTAATATAACTTCCAATAACTTATAAAGTACTGTTTAGACTACTCTGCGTGCAGAGTCTAGTTAAACTACAGTGTAAGAAGTGAAGTCAAACGAATGCAAAGGGTATGTTTAGACTGACTTCAAATTTTTATTTTCAAACATATAAACGTGTGATGAGTTCCAACATATTTCTGCAAATACTGAATACTACTACATGTAGATATAGACAGTATAGTATGGTATCTGTTACCATGGCGAACCTTTGTTACATTTTTGTAACCATTTGCAATAATAACTTGGTGGTGACATTTTGTAGTGTGAACGCCTTGTTTTAATTTACGCTCGGCTCGTTTCTTTTGGCGATTGAAAATTAAATTAGTCATCTTTTTCACATGTTTCATCCTCATATCTGAGACCAGTCTCAGCTCATATGTAACTGAGAAACAATCCGAATAACGCAGATGCGAGTAAGTAGTTACCAGTTTCACCACCAGGTGGCTCGTTCGGGTCAGATAGCATGGCGGGTATAGTAGAATGTTCCCTTTAACTTAAATTACATCTGTTTTAGTGGTTCAATTTTCATATAACCCTTCTGTATCTAATTGTTATGTAAATCAAAATATGTCCAGTAAAAGAAAATGTTATCTGTTCAATACAAGAAAAGATATTTCACTTTTTGTGATTTTGTAACATGGGGTCTATGGGGAATCAACCCGAGCTAGAAGTCACATTTTCAAAAAAAAATTAATTTTCAAAGTTGATCAACAATTTTCGAAACCATATTTCTAGATGTACTTTTACATGTAGATTTCAAATATGACATCACTTTGACTGAATTTTGAATATTTAATGACGTAAATCAAGATTTTTTCTACTCGCATCTAGTTTATTCAGATGAATATTCAGATACGCTCTTCAAAGGTGGTCAGGTTGTCAATTTTCTGAAGAGGGTGTAACATGATGTTATTTCATCCATATTTGGCTAGGTGGAAGGACATTTGATCCTGAAATAACATTAATCTGGACTGGATTACAGCCCAGCACTGCATTCAATGTTATTATGAGTGATACAAATAAAAAAGTATCCAAACTACTTTATAATCCCCATTTCTGTTCTATTAGTCAGATTGGAAATATGTTTAATACCAACAAATAGATGTCGCTAAAATAGGCTGAATTTCAAGATTGGTAACTACAGAAATGATATTGAATCAATCCCTGTTGTGCCCCCCACCACCATCCTTGGCCCAAGAGTAATTCATTGCATTACATCTGCTATGAAAGCAGTGAAGGACCGATCTTGAAGGATGCCCCACCACATCCCTTCTTAACTCGGGTACAAAGGGGAAAGCCAAATACTTGATGTAAGGTTAAACACAACCAGCGGCTTGGTCGAGAAAGCCGAGAATTCTTCGAGTTACAAATGGATCGTCATGATAGAATATCAACTTTTCCCCTGTACATGGATCCTCCGAGGTAACGTTCTTAATTTCATTTTCAATACCATCAGTAACCTTAATCAACCCTCGGTTACTGGTCAGTACTATCCATATAACAACACCACCGTTGTCACGTATTGATTCGGCAGCTTTAATTGCAGCTGGGCGGTGCCTCAAAGGAGAAGTTCTGCCATCTCCGAAGAAAATTACAACATCGCGATAGGCTTCGTCATCCCTGTCGTTCGGTGTTGCCAAGGTAGCAATTACTTTATTAAATGCAACATCGGTCCTTGTTCTGCATTCGTCAGTGGTATCAGGAGTGACTTTTAGATCAGATAACAGCTTCACAACATTTGATGGGTTATCGTCCGGTTCGCCAGTTGAGAATGAATCTACGACATCGGCGTTATAGCTGAACCCACTAATTCTTGAGCCTTTAAGTGAGTCGAGTGTCAAATTCAAACTAATATCCTTGGCAATGTTCAACGCCGCCGTGATATTTGTCGCGTCAATCGAACACGATATATCAAATGAAAAGACAATGTCGGCGCACACTGAAAAACATAACATCGATATTTTATGATGACTTTTATGATGATTATGATCATCATAAATTCACTTCTATAATTTGTATTAATTGATAAGGATATTGGGGCTTGTATTGGTTTTCAAGTTATTCAATATTCCTTTTTTAATGTTTGTTTTTCCTTTCCCTTTTGTCATTGTTTTTATATGATGTGGTCAGTTTTAAACGTATTGTAATGGAATGTCTTGAGGGCTGGGTTATAAAGTAAAGAAATACAGTTATTATGTACACGGCCCTGGGGTCCATTCAAGGAATACGGGGTGGTGTCACTTTTAAGCGTTAACCTTCATTCTGATACTCATACCATCTTTCTGTTTCACCTGAAACATCTCGGGGCTGAGAAGAAATGAGGTGTTATGGTTTATCGTGAATGACCTTCTCAATGAGAATGGAAAATGTATACGGTCTAATCAGTTTAAGATTAAAAGACAAACAATGTCTATTATGTCACCACCAAACACCAAAAATTGGTGACATATTGTTATGGTCTCCGTTTTTGTGACGGCGGTTGGTGTCTAACGGGTGGCGGTTGAAGGTTGGCGTCTTTAAAAAATCTTACAACTTCAAATAACTTAAAAAATACTGATAAGACTGATTTAATTTCTTTAAAAACCATTTACCAGATTTAAGATTTGACCTTCAATGACATTAACAAGGTCAAAGGGCTTTTTTGCAACTTGCTCCAAATTGACCAGCTAAAAAATTACCTACAAGTTCTCAGGGGCTCAAATCTGACCTAAGATTGAACAAATAATATTATATCAGCTATAAGTACAGCTTAAATGTAAAGTGACTATTTTGATCCTATACCACAACACTGCACCCGAACACTGGGAAACGTCACCAATTTAGATGGCCTAATTAATAAAGAAACTTCATCAAAAAATAGTCTTTAGGTTAAACTAGCAGATATTAGAGAGATTTCGCAATTTACTTAAAGCATGTTTATTATTCCCGTATAACGTATAACTTATAAAGCGTATGAATACGTCATCATTTAATGCGCAGCTCTATATGTCGATAAGTGTGATATTCTTATAAATCATCATCTATACGTAAGAATATCATAATTATCGACGTATAGAGCTGCGTAATAAATAATGACGTAATCAGACGCTTCATAAGTCATACGTGAATAATAAACTATGCTATAAGTAAGTTGCGAATTCGCTAGATATTGAAAACCGTGAAACAAAGACTGAGATCATCAGTTCTAAATAATATGAAGAAGCTGTTACCAGGTTACCACTTTACCATCATGCCCAAGTTTAACAAAGTAGAATTCTGGTATTTGGATGGCAAAAGATATGTGTAGGTTCTCTTCTAGTACATGTAGTAGGTGCTGAGATACTATACATAGCTTTTCTTAATAGTTCACTTCTGAGGCCCGGGTATACTGTACTGTCATTAATAAAAAAAATCAGTCTTATTCTTATCCATTAAGCTTATAAAAATCAGTCTTATTCTAATATATGTAAGTAATCTAGTAAATACATATATACACCATGCATTAAATAACAACTCAGTACACTAGCGAACATTTTATACATTTTTAACGTATTCCTGGGCCTCAGGTTCACTTGTTGGGATTGTATATAATATAGAAATATATAGTTTAATGCAACAAATAGAATCTTGAGTTTATTTACAATCTGCTAAAATTAGTTGGTTTAGTAAAGTTTTTCAACCAAATCATTAAAATCGAAAGAAAGCTATAGCTACATTTGATAAACTTTAAATGTCTCGATTCCCATAGAGGTAGCGTTAATTAATGCCTGGGTCACATATGCTCCGATCCAACGGCCGGCGCCCGGTCGATTGAGTGTTTTGTTCAATATTGTATTCAATTTTGAACAAGATACTCAATCGGCCGGGCGCCGTAGTGAAAATCGGAGAAAATGTGACCAAGGCATAAGAGATATGATTCATAAAATGACAATGCAATGCACTGATATATTGAAATTTCATCTGCCTTTGGTTGACCGTAACCCGTGCGTTACCGGTCATGCGTCATTGGTACAGCCTTTGTGATAAAGCATAAAAAGGAATAAACTGTTCTTGTCAATCAACGTCATTCGCAGTATTTCAGTTATTGGTTAGAGTTATCAGGCTCCGGCGGTGCACATGACTGTGGTATAGGACCTTAAATAAAAGAAAATACAATCTTGGTTACTAATAATTGCACGAATCAAACCAAAGGCCTAGTCGTTTTTGATTTTATTAAATATAATTAAAAAATTAAAAAAATGAGTCACTTACTTTTTTTATGAAAAATGATCAAAGATTTCTTAAAGTGATGAGAATTGATATGAGGATATGTTTCAAATTTTGTATGAGAAAATATTGTTTGGTTGCACTTTTATTAAAGCACATAGAGGCTAGAGAATTTCACAACACGTGAAATAAATCTACACAAATACGTACCTGTCGCAGGGTCTTCGAGAGTGAATTCAACAGTTGATCCATTCGGAAAGTTGGGTAGCTTTACAAGCTCTTTCCCAATTTTCGCAAAATCTGAATCAACTCGAACAAGATGGCCGGCGTCATTTGCAACCTTACAGAACATGTCGTTTCTGTCGTGCTCATTGAAGGCAAAGTCAACCATGTAGCAAGAGCCGTCAACTTTGAAGTCGTTGAAACCATCAGGGCATACACCTTAATTAAATTAAAATGAAATAATTGAATCGTCGTCGGGTCTCCATGTGTTTCTCTTGAAGCCAAGTATGCTGTCAATTTTAGTGTATACCAGGCATGGGCGGACTCCAGGTTAAAACCCTTGTATGAGTCCTGTCCTTGCAAGATTAAAATTCCTCTATTAAACTAACATTAGATTTAAAGTATAATTAGATGTAGCGAAAACTACAAAATCAGAAATCTTTAAATTCACTGAACTTGCATATTGGTAATTGATAACCGCCCAATTAAATGGTTAATTGTATAACGACCCTTGGGCACTTCCGCCCGGGGACCTGGAGTGTGACGGGCCAGCCCAAGCCATATACTAGAAATGAAAGGGAGAGTGCTAAAGTCAATGATCCAGTTCGAACCCCACACCGGGCATTGAATTTAGCACACTCCCTTTCATGTCTAGTACCCCGGACGGACGTGCCCAAGGGCAATCGAAAACATCAGCGAAGGAGGGAATGATCAATAACAAAGTTCCCATAATCTGATTCCATTTTTCGTTTCAAAATATTCTGATAGAAAAATTTAATTTACAGAATGTGCAAAAGTACAATAACATATCTATTCAACAAGAAATAAATGTAGTACATGTAAGTGTAACATAAATATAGAATAAAAAATGGCCCTTTGCCAGTCCTCACCTGATGGTGGAATGTCCATCTCACAGAGTAATTGGGACAGGCCGTCACAACCCTCTCTAGTTATATAGAGTTTCCCGGGGTCGCTCACTTTGGTTCTATAGTTTGATAGAATCAAACACTTGCAATCCTCCTGTTGGTTCGCATACTCCTTGTATCCTGGAATTTTTATTTATTTATCTATTTTTTCCGTAGGGTATGTAATTATAACGGTATGAAACGGTAGTAAACATAAATGGAATACAATAATAGGGCCTAGCACGAATAAATAAATAAAAATAAATAAGAGCACATATGCAAAAGTCGTTTTCTGGGTCTAAAGGGGCAATGAGTCAATCAATGGTTTTTCGTCCAGTGTTGCGTTTCAACAACGTACGCTACTCAAATAGCTTGACTATTTTCAATCTTCGGATGTAGAGGAGCATTGGCTTGATTTTATTTTTGATTATTCTGACCTATTCCAAAATTTTCCTTTCTGGCATGAATGACACCGGATTGCAAGTATTGGTAGAGAAATCAAAATGAAATTTTACTTTTCCTTAATCAAAACGAAACCAGCCGTATGTGCGATTGCTTTAGCATCGTTTTACTGATTACTGTACTTACTTGATTTTCCATTTTAAGCAACAACAATACAAAAGGCCTTTTGTCTAGGCAACCTGCACTACCAATCACTTATAAGCACAGGTAATAATTTCCCGAGAAATGATTTTGTCACATGTAGTTTAATTTGTACATACCTGTCCAATGTTTTATTCTGAATTCCTTGTAATTCTTGTATCCTGCATCGGGTACCGCTGCAAGTAGCTTTCCCAATTCTCTCGCCTCGCTTGGTGTGTCAATGGCAGCGATATCTCCGCCCTTAAGCGCACATATTTCACTCACTTCGTCGTGATCTACTGGAGTCAAATCAAACCAGTAGCAACTGTCTCCTATAGCCATTGGGAAATCAGCTGGACAATCGCCTAAAATTGTAAGGAAAGAGAAGATGTGATGTAATAGTCATCGTGAAATCCTCTGTGCGTGTACATGTACATTCGCCTAAAATTGTGTAAGGAACAGAAGGTGTTATGGAAAGCCATCGTGAAATCCTCCGAACATTCGCCTAAAATTGAAAAAAGTACAGAAGATGAGATGTAATTGCAATCGTGAAATCCTCTGTCTTTCGCCTAAAAATTGTTCAAAGAACAGGAGGTCAGTGATGTAATGATTGAAGAACTTGCATATTTGGTCACGTTATTTCATGCCTAAAATTTACTCTTACCCTAAGTTAAAATAGATGAAATTGAATTGTTGGTATTGTGAAATATCAAACTAAATTCACATATCATTAAAAAAAACTGTCACAAAATAGGATATGGAGAACATACAATTCTGAACATAATACTCAATCGGCCGCGCGCTGGTGCCGGTCTAATTCACATATCATTGAAAAAAACTGTCACAAAATAGGATATGGAGAACATACAATTCTGAACAAAATACTCAATCGGCCGCGCGCTGGTGCCGGTCTAATTCACATATCATTGAAAAAAACTGTCACAAAATAGGATTTGGAGAACATACAATTTTGAACGAAATACTCAATCGGACGGGCGCTGGCGCCGGTCGATGAATCAGCGAAAATGTGACTCAGGCATAACCAACTACAAAACAAGCATTTACTTTGTTCATTTTTGTTCTCCGTGGTCTTTTTAATAAAAGTGGACCAGTTTACATAGCACATGGCCCCGTTGATGGCCTTTGCATTTTTTAGTGAAATTAGCTGGATTTTCTTTTTGGAGGGGAGTGTATGTGGTATATAGCCCTTTTCCTTCATGAATATAATTTTTTTTTAATTTATTCTCGATCTTGTATTCAGTCGTTACATAGTTGTATAACCTGTACCAGTCAATTTTCTATTACCTGATCCATCTTTCGGTTGTTCACACAGCGTTTGAACTGTACTTTGTAGGCATTTCTCAGTCTTCCAAATAAATTTACTACGAGATTCTCCTTGGTAACGCCAGTTTGTAAACAACAAGCAATCTGTAAAAAATAAAGCGAGCAATTATAGAAAAGTTGAATGAATATGAGTACATGCTCCTCTCTACAGGTCCAGTTTATATTCCTTATATTGACTGTACTTTGTTAAATTGAACAACCCAATTTTGAAATTGAAAACTATTTACAGAAAATAAGATTTATATTAAAACATACTGATGTCAATATAATTTATTGATTCGCTTTTAATTTGGTGTATTTGGTAGCAGAGTTAGACACTGCACGAGCCCCTTTAAATCCTAAACGTGTAAATCTTCATATTGGACAGTATTTACCACCAACGTCACCAACCAGAATATGTGCCCCGTCAACATTGTAAGTGTTCTGCTTGTTTTAGAAAAACATGTAAAAGTAATCATACTAACCAGGACCTGCAATAGTATTTGCCGCCAACGCTCCTGTCACCAACCAGAATATGTGCCCCGTCAACATTGTAAGTGTTCTGCTTGTTTTAGAAAAACATGTAAAAGTAATCATACTAACCAGGACCTGCAATAGTATTTGCCGCCAACGCACCTGTCACCAACCAGAATATGTGCCCCGTCAACATTGTAAGTGTTCTGCTTGTTTTAGAAAAACATGTAAAAGTAATCATACTAACCAGGACCTGCAATAGTATTTGCCGCCAACGCTCCTGTCACCAACCAGAATATGTGCCCCGTCAACATTGTAAGTGTTCTGCTTGTTTTAGAAAAACATGTAAAAGTAATCATACTAACCAGGACCTGCAATAGTATTTGCCGCCAACGCTCCTGTCACCAACCAGAATATGTGCCCCGTCAACATTGTAAGTGTTCTGCTTGTTTTAGAAAAATATGTAAAAGTAATCATACTAACCAGGACCTGCAATAGTATTTGCCGCCAACGCTCCTGTCACCAACCAGAATATGTGCCCCGTCAACATTGTAAGTGTTCTGCTTGTTTTAGAAAAACATGTAAAAGTAATCATACTAACCAGGACCTGCAATAGTATTTGCCGCCAACGCTCCTGTCACCAACCAGAATATGTGCCCCGTCAACATTGTAAGTGTTCTGCTTGTTTTAGAAAAACATGTAAAAGTAATCATACTAACCAGGACCTGCAATAGTATTTGCCGCCAACGCTCCTGTCACCAACCAGAATATGTGCCCCGTCAACATTGTAAGTGTTCTGCTTGTTTTAGAAAAACATGTAAAAGTAATCATACTAACCAGGACCTGCAATAGTATTTGCCACCAACGTCCCTGTCACCAACCAAAATATGGCGTCCGTCAACATTGTTAGGCCTCTGCGTATTTAGCTAAAGGAAAACGCCTGGACGATTGCAACTGTAGCTCTGAATCGTCAATTGTGTGACATTGCTTTAAATAACCCATTAGTGACAATTATGATATAGAGGGGATCTTCTTTGTTTTGAATAGTAAACATTGCTCGCTGTGGCACAATGACATAAACGGTGGATGGTATAGAGCAATGTCAGCCCTTGAATGTCAGCTCATCAATGAACCTCTATCCCCAAGGTACAGCACGACCTACATGAGTTCAAACAGGGGTGGTGGGGGTTTCCTAAAATTCCGGGTTGGTATCTGATCAGGTGATATCCATGTGACAGATCCATATAAGGCTTATAGGGCCATATAGGAATCCAACTTACTTTTGTCCGCCATTTTGAATATCCATATAAGGCTCGTGGGACCATCTAGGGAAATATAAGGGGAAGCCCTTGAAATCAAGTAATAGCAAAGAATTATGGGAGCTACTAATTTCTCCTGAGTTCAATGAACTAAGATTTTGGAAAGTGATTCAGTTTGGACTTGATTTATTTTATTGCTAGAACAAGGTTTTGACCCAAAGGTACTCCAACTCGAACTATTTTATTTTTGAAAAACATATAGTCGTATTTTTGCATTTACTTCCATCGTGACTATCATAACATTATGACTATAAGCCGACGTCGGCTGGTGGTATTTTAACTATGTCCTAATATATGTATTAATTGTATACCAGTGACACTTAAATAAACTATTTTAAACTTAAACTATCAAACCAAGTTATACAAACATAATTTTGACGGTAACAGGACAACTCATCCCCAAGACAACTCATCCTCGAGACAATGCATCCCAAAGACAACTCATTTCAAGACATCTCATCCCAAGACAACTCATTTCAAGAATTTCATCCCAAGACAACTCATTTCAAGACATCTCATCCCAATACAACTCATCATATCAAAGTAGCATTATATGTAATTTGAAGAATGTAGTTTAATTTTCTTTATTATTATTTTACTGTAATTACAAAATTGTTATAGGGGTTCAAGTTTTTCCCTTTGTAGCCAGATCACTAGAAATTATTTATCAATGATGTGGGGAATAATCGATCTCTTTTTGACATTTTGTGTTGAATTCATTCCAACCTCCAGTCAGGGGGGGAGTAACAACCTTATTTTTTGTCAACCTAATTGACTCCCAAAGAAGATTGTTTAACTTGTCAGTTGTGTTTTAACCAATGGAAATCTTGAAGTTCAAACACTGTATTCTAAAAGTACGTTCAAGGTCATCACGATCAGAGGTGACCGTATTCGTAAACTTGTGATGGTGTTTTGCTTGTCACTTGTGATCTTAGGTAAAAGAAAATTAGGTTGAAATATTGAGGGCGATGTTGATTCTTATTCAAACGTGTTCTCAGATCGTAACGGTCCTTTAACACGGGATTACGAAAAGTACTGATACAAGTTAAGAAGCTCGTTGTCCAAGCAGCAATGCAGGTTAGACTTTCCAAGGCCATCATGATCAGGTGATTGTCTTATTTAGGCTGTTTCACTTTTTCAAAATGTCACCACGTCGCCAGGGTTAAAGAAATTTGATTTTCACCACCTGAAAATGTAGTGATTCATGGATATCGTGAGTAATGTTGAAAAAATGAGTGAATTTTTTTTATCAAAGTTGTGTTTAAGGATTTAAGCCCCTGAATCGGTGCAATGTGGAATGACCATCCCTTGAACGTGTTGCTTTCCAAAAATTGCAAGAGAATTTAATGAAACAACGCCTCAAAGGAATGGGCATTACACAATGCATTGAGTCTTGGGCTTAAATTACTTTCACACATTGCAAAATGTTTTCTACAGGTACGAAATCACCAAAACAATATATTTTTAATGAAAATTTTTGTATGGGTCAGCTGGCAAGTTATCAATTTTTCAATCTGAGGAGTCAAGTTATCACCTTGACAACCGCTTAACTAGTGACCTTGAGTTGTTAATTGGTTACATAATGGAATGCAGTTATGTAAAATAGCGTCTTCGGATTGGCTGGATCGGACACAACTTGGCTAGCTATGTCTGAGTTATTTTCTTTAAAAGTTATAGTGGCTGACCTTGTGCTAATGATTACAGCTGCTAGATCACGTATGTTTTTGTACAATCTTAAATCATACAAGTTGTTTAGTTCCAAACAAGTAGTTTGTTTGTCCATTCATAGGTTTGCTATCTTTTTGAAAATGAGACTTGTAAAATTGTTAAATATATTAGAGAGGCATATGTAAGAAGACAGCAGCTGATTTATAAGGATCCATGAACCTGTAACTTATATTTATATTTTGAATTTGTTATTAAATGTTATTTGAAGTGGTTAATAAGCCCAAGGTGGGCTGGGTTGTTTTACATAAACTTATTCTACCTCCTTGCTAAAACCAATGCCGATTACATGAGATGATTCACTGCGCATGCGTAGGTTAGATTTATTGCGACTTTGCAGGTAGGTGGACGTGTTCCACATTTGAGCTGCTCAGCAGGTGAGAATTCACTTTGCGGTTTTATGCCTGGACTTTAGCTACCTTGTCTAATGTTCAGTACATTCAATACATTGATATATATCTAACTGGATATATTTTGATGAATAAATAACCCTGACTCGGGGTTCAATTACTGTGTGAATAGCAGCTTACCCCTGATTGGGAATTTCTTTGTCTCGCAAAACGCGGGAAAACTTTTTACAAAATAAACCAATGGTCATAGCCTTACTGGGCTTTCATTGTGAAAAGCGTTTTGTTTTTATAGATCACGCTTGAAGTAATTCTTTCGAGCTGACTTGGCTCTGCGTGAATAAAATTACGAGCTGACTTGGCTCTGAGTGAATATAATTACGAGCTGACTTAGCTCTGAGTGATTGCTAAAAACTCTCAATACACTATATAGTAAAGAGATCAGTGTAACTCAACACGACTTTATCAGTCAATATGGCACAATCTCAACTCGGAGATATAGATATGGAGACCGAAGAAAGTCTCCTTGATTTGCCAAAATCTTCAGATGTAAAAGGAAAATCAAAATCAAAATCTAAAACAAATTCTAAGAAAGATGCTAATATAGCTCATGTAGGTAAGGATGATTTCCTAAGCCTAACAAATGCCATCACAAGTGGAATGAACGCTATGAAAGATTCTATGGCTGACATAATGTCGTCATCATTGAAGGACATTAAAGATGCAATGAGGCAAAATCCAAACTCTCTCGAGGAGGACAATCCGTTCAATGATAATGATGATGAATATGATCAAGATCAGTATGATTATGATGAGGACAGTGAAAGTTCTCAACCTCCATCTAAGAAATCAAAAGCCAGCAATTCGAGTGATAACGAAATTGTTATGTCGGATTTTATGAAACAACTTAAATCTCAAATAAAACCTCAGGAGGACCAAGGTCCACCGATTGCAGCAGCAGCTGCTTCTTTAGTGAATGAGTTGATTCAAACCAACTTGGATGGAGATGATGAAAAATCTAAACATGACACTTATAAAACTCCAAATAACGCACCTTTACTCTGTGTTGCAAAGGTTAATGAACAAATATGGTCAAGGGTTTCATATGATCTCCGTACCAGTGATGTACGACTACAACAGGCTCAGAAGCCTATCATAAGTGCTATAGTGGCTGCCACGAAATCATTAGAAATACTGGATCAAATCAAATCTAAGTTGGCAACTAATTCTGACGAATATGAAGACCAATTTGGAAAAATTGGTCTGATGTTATATGATAGCATACAAATGTCGTGTCAAGCCAACTACAAATTGAACATGAGGCGCCGGGAATTATTCAAACCGGAAATAGCACAAGGATTCAAGCACCTGTGTGACAAATCTGCATCAGTAACCAAGTATTTATTTGGCGATGATGTTACAAAACAAGTAAAGGATATCGCTGAAATGAACAAAGCTCAAGTTCGAGGATCAGTATTTTCTCAATCAAGAGGAAATAACCGTGGTGCTAGAGGACGTGGAGGTCGTTCACGTGGTAGAGGGCGTTCCCAGAACCATTTTTTATACCAAGGCCAGGGACGCAGCAACTATCAATGGGGATATTCCCAGCAAAACAACTCCCAACGCGGAAGAGGAAGAGGCAAATCTCAGAAGAGAGGCCAGTCTCAAGATTACGAGAATCAGCAAAGCAAATAGCTACAACTGATCCTACTGAGGTAAGAAATTCACTTAGATCTCAGTTAAATTTGTTCGAAGGTGGCAGATTGAAATATTTCTATGATGAATGGAAAAATATCACTAACGACCCAACAATTCTCAAAATAATTGAAGGTTATGATATTGAATTTGTTGACGTTAACAACATACCATCGTGTACCGATTGTCGTCCAATGGTTTTTTCTGATTCGGAATGCTTGGCTGTAGATCATGAGATCGAGAAATTCTTGAATAAGGGTATTTTGAAACAAGTTGATTGTTCTGAAATAGGATATTTATCGTCCATTTTTCTGACACCCAAGCGTGATGGGTCCAAGCGGACTATTCTGAATTTAAAACCATTAAACGAGCATATTGTGTATCATCATTTCAAGATGGAAACATTTCAAAATGCCACAAATCTTGTCACCAAAAATTGTTATATGGCCACCTGTGATATCAAAGACAGTTACTATAGTATACCCATGTCTGAACATTCTCAGAAATACCTCCAATTTAAATGGAAGGGTAAAATATATCAATACACTTGTCTACCACAAGGCTTATGTTCTGCCCCTCGTATTTTCACAAAGATTTTGAAACCAGTCTATGCAAAATTGCGAAACCAGGGTAGAAAGTCTGTGGCTTACATTGACGATACGTGTCTATTTGCAGATACCTACGAGGAATGTAAATACAATATTGCTGATACTATACACCAACTGCAGACACTTGGTTTCATTCTTCATCCAGAAAAGTGTGACTTGATCCCTTCACAAAAGGTACAGTTTCTTGGGTTTGAAATAAATTCAAATACTATGGAAATAAAATTACCATATGACAAAACAGAAGCCTTGCGTTCATTGTGTATTGATACCATCCGACACATAGACAACATTACTATACGTCAAGTTGCAAAATTAATTGGGAAAATGGTTGCTTCTTTCCAAGGGGTTAGGTTTGGTCAGTTATACTACCGTCACCTTGAAATCCAAAAAAGCAATGCATTAACGCAAAATTTTGGCAATTTTGACGCGAAAATGTATCTTAACCAGGATGCAATCGATGAAATCAATTGGTGGATTAGCAATGTCAGATCGTCTAAAAGCCCTATCTCTGTTACAGATCCTGACTTAACGTTTCGTAGTGACAGCAGTAATGAAGGCTGGGGTGGTTTTGATGTGAAAAATAATGTAAAGACTGGTGGAAGATGGTCTATTGATGAATCCACTAATCACATCAATTACCTTGAGTTGTTAGCAATTTACTTAACGTTGAAAGCATTTTGTAGGTCGTATAGGGACATACATATAAGGGTCCAAACAGACAATACGACGGCTATGACGTATGTCAACAACATGGGAGGTACTAAATCTACGAAATGTAACATCTTATCAAAAACCATCTGGAAATGGTGCATATGTAGAAATATTTGGTTATCTTCCTCTCATATACCAGGTATCAGTAACATCGAAGCTGATCACGAATCCAGAACGTTTCACGATGGAACAGAGTGGACGTTGGATAAACATGTCTTTACCATGATATGTAGAATAGGTGAATTTCCAACGCCAACGCTTGATTTATTTGCTTCTAGATTAAATGCTCAACTTGAGAAGTTCGTGTCCTGGAGGCCAGATCCCGACGCACAATTTGTTGATGCATTTTCCATATGTTGGAACAATGATGTAATGTATGCTTTCCCTCCTTTCAGTCTCCTCATGCCTGTTCTTCGGAAAATTCAACAAGACCAAGCAGATGCAATAGTAATCGCACCTTTCTGGCCGACGCAACCCTGGTGGCCAAAGCTACTGAGCCTGCTGGTATCGAACCCAGTAGTATTACCACGTCGGAAGACATTGCTGGGACTTCCTCACAAACCCGGTGTTCACCACCCTTTGATGGGAAAAATGACCATCGTAGCATGTTCATTGTCCGGGAAATCTTATAAAACCAAGGAGTTTCTAAGGAAGCAACAGACGTTATCGTACAATCATGGAGACCACAGTCCCAAAAACAATACAATGTCTACATCAAAAGATGGGTTCAGTTCTGCTCTAAACGGCATATTGATCCCCTTCACCCATCTATACAAATAGGGTTGGACTTCCTAGTTAGTTTACACCAAGAAACTCTAAGTTACAGCTCGATAAATACAGCACGCAGTGCCTTATCATCATTTATCTATGACGGAAATATTTCATTTGGACAGCACCCACTTGTGATTCGTTTTATGAAAGGTGTATATAATTCGAATCCACCTAAACCTAGGTATCAATCAATATGGGACGTTTCAATTGTTTTAAGACACCTTCAACTTTTGTTTCCGCTGGAAAAATTAACATTACGTGATTTATCTCTGAAACTAGTAACATTGATAGCACTTACTACAGCACAACGAATGCAAACATTGGCCTTGTTGGACATTGAAAACCTCATTTCTGAGGAGAACTGTTTTGTTTTTACTATAAACCAGAACATTAAACAGTCTAAGGCGGGAGTTAAAAACCCAGTTGTACGACTAGAAAAATATATAGATCCAAGTATTTGTGTATATAGAACATTGAAAACCTATTGTGAACGAACTGAGCCTTTAAGAGGGAAATGTACAAGTTTGTTCATAAGCTTTATAAAACCCCATCAATCTGTTTCGAAGGATACTTTGAGTAGATGGGTTAAAACAGTTTTAACAGAATCTGGTATTGATACAAAAGTTTTCAAACCCCACAGCACAAGAAGTGCTTCTGTTTCTGCAGCAAGTCGAAATGGACTTAACATTGAATGCATTTTGAAAACAGCTGGTTGGAGCAACGAGTCGTGTTTCAGAAAATTTTATAATAAGCCAGTGGTGAAACAAAACGATTCATTTTGTAATAAGGTTCTTAATGTACTGTAACAGTTATGATGTGTTTATCAGGTTAATAACATGATTTAAATAAATGTATTAATACATTAATTATAATATCTTGTCTTTTGAAATGGAAATTTAATTTGCAAAATTCCATTAAATATCTAATATGTCCAGATGGCTTTAAAGTCTCATGTAATCGGCATTGGTTTTAGCAAGGAGGTAGAATTGAAAGTTAAACGATACTTTCAAGGAAAGTTGAAGTTTGACTGGAATTCTACCGACTTGCTAAACACCAATAGATTACATGCCCGCCCTATGAAGCCACACCCTTTGAGAACATGTATAATCATTTATAATTTATTTTACATGTAATCACATAATAAGATATCAAATTTACAATATCATTATTATAGTATTTATTTTCATCTGGACAAATAGATTTACTTTAAAGTTCTAACCTACGCATGCGCAGTGAATCATCTCATGTAATCTATTGGTGTTTAGCAAGTCGGTAGAATTCCAGTCAAACTTCAACTTTCCTTGAAAGTATCGTTTAACTTTCAATTTTGTTTGACTTTGTTGTATAGACTTACCACTATAAATAAAAAATAAAAACAAACAAACAAACATCCAAGCTTTTCAAAACCTTTTAACTCTGATCATGAACATGTACATAAAGGAATAAGGATGTATGGAGAGAGTGATTAATTGGAAGTTATCTTTTAAAAGGACATGCCAATGTTTTCCTTAAACTGTTAAAGTCCTTAAACAATATCTGATATAATATATACAGAATGACGTTTCCACTCGACACATCTTTAAAGAAAATTGTGACACCTTAAAACATTTGAAAAGAACTAACCGACTGATCACAATGTTAATGTCACACTTGCTCCAGCCCTCATCCTGTCTGCCTAGCCCCTACAACATCCACTAGCCCCCTTACATTCTTATATAATGCCGACTTAATGGCGACTTAAGAATCAATTTGTATGTGTACATTAATTATATGTGATTTAATAAACGAACAAAAAAATGTTGATGTACATCATTGTAATTGTCAACTTCCTGTATAAATTTTAAACTTTAATATACCCTCCATGTGACTTACTCTAAATACTTGCAAAATCAAAATGACAAATGTCAGCCTAAAATTAATAGAAGTACGACATTTCTACATGAAAATTGACTCCATGTGTACACACATGTAAATACGCTTAAATCATTCCGCGCCGTTCACGTATGCGTTGTGAAAAATAGTGCAAGCTAAACCCTTCTGGTGTAATCAGAACCCAGTTAGCTATTAAACTTTTCATCACATACATGAAACATGGTGTGTGTAAACAGTATGGGGGAAATGCGTATGTTTTACGAATCTTCCTCTTATTCAACACTGTTTCATTTCTTTCTAATCTCTTTAATGGTAAATAAGTCAAACGAGCCTCACATACATACTGTTAGCCTTGCCCAAGTCGGTCTCTTACTTATCTTGATTTCTATTATTAAAAGTACCGACTTGGGCAAGGCTACTGTACTAGTCTACGATAGAAATGATGTTTGCAAAAAAAGATGGCAATGTATTCAAAATCTTTGACTGTGAATCACCACAACTATCATATCTGATTAAAACCAAAGGTAGCTGTACGTATCATGATTGTCGAAATTATATTTGTTCGACTATACGACTATATGTTTTTCAAACATAAAATTGTTCGAGTTGGGAGTATCAACAAAATAAATAGCCTTTAGGTCAAAACCTTGTTTTAACAATAAAACAGATCAACTTTATTTTTTCCTTGTTTTTCTTTGAAAATGTGACTTCTAGTTCTAGATCGGGGAGATTCCCCAGAGATCTCATGTTATGAAATCACAAAAAGTGTCTTTTCTTGTATTGAACAGATAACATTTTCTTTTACTGGACATATATTTGTATAACTATGTATCAGAAAAATAAGCGTAATATGTAAAATGAACCACCAAAACTGATGAATTCAAGTTTAAGGGGACTTTTTACATACCTGCCATGTTATTTCCCCCGAATTAGCCACCTTGTGGTGAAAGTGGTAACTACCTACTCGCATCTGGGTGATTGGTCTAATTTCAATATTTCATGGCCATTTTACAAAATATGCTCCTAGTGTCGGCCTTGTCTCTGGAGGAAAGCCAAAACGCGCCGAACGAAGTTGTTCACTGTACGTTCACTGATGATTCTTATCTCGGGTTGTTGTATCTTTAGATAATGATAGTCTGTGGGTTCATAAGACGAGCATAAGTCGGCATTTGGAGCACGTTCTTAAAATTGACCATAAAATCCTGACGTTTAAAAATAAACCTATTAAACGTAATGGAATGAAAGAGCATCAAACAAGGATCATATATATTACTATAATTCTGCTAAACATGTCTTTAAATCCATTTGTTTAGTTACCCTTTTTGACTCACATAGTCCAACACTGCACCATAGCTAAGGATATCATGATTTTATTCAAAATATTCAAGAATCATAATTAAACTACAACTGTATTTACACGTTTTTTCTCGATATGCTCAGAGTCGCATTTACAACTTCCTTTTTGTTCAAAGTGTCCCTGCCACTTTTTAACAGTTTTCAAAAGTCGTAAAAAATCATATGAAGACAACGTGAAAGGAGAACGATTCAATTTCCATGAATCACATACAGTTTGCGTCAATATTCAATAAAGATTAATTCAGTTATTCTAATAAAATAACTGTGAATGTATTTATTTCAATTTCATCGGTCTTTTTCATCAAGAGATTTTATTGCCATTAATGATTATAAGTACATATCATAAATGAGGGACCCAATCGGCCTCTCGTTGACCCTTTCCCGCTCGTTAACGGCCATGTGTCATTGGTACACCCAGTGTGACAAAGCATAAAATAAAACTTCTTGTCTGTAAACGATCATTCAAAGACATTGGCAGTATTTGAGTTAGTTGTACTTAATGGGGCGCATGTCTTTGGGACGTCTCCCTTTGGTAGGCCTGCTCGACCTGAAACAAAAAACATCAATTTAATTTTAAATACATGGAATCAAATTAGCATATTTGTCAACCTAACAAAATAACGATAGTCAATTGTAGCAGTTTTTCTGATGTGTTGGAAAGATTTTAAAAATTCAAAAGAAAATCATGCAAAAATGTGTAGTTTTACAGCGTTGTCAAGTTTCCTAGTGATTTAAATTAAAAAAAATGTATTTAAAGGTAAATGATTGCATAAACCTATTTTCTACTATGTACGAGGGTTGTCCCAGAAGTAATGCACTATATGCTCTAACTTTATCAATAATGAATGTTTTTCCATGAAATTTTCAGTAAATGTTCCTTAGAGACATTTTGATTACTCTACAAATGTTCATGTTGGCTGATAAAACTATATTGATGTTATAATAAAATCAAGTTGGTGAGTTTGGGTAGGGTGGGGCAGGTTATACAGCCACATCAAAATGAATAAAAAATGAAAATATGAAATAATTAATCAACAAATACCATTTTGTGTAGCAATAAGAAGTATGCTCAAAAATACATTTTAAGATACTAAATTACTATGAGCACATCCTAGATTTAATGGATGTATATTGCACAGTGTCCAACTTCACATTTTCTCAAAATATTGCCCTTTGCATGTCATGTACCTTTGATGCCTGTCAGGTCAAACACTCTTAGCAATTTCTCCCACTGTGATTTGTGGAGTTTTTGCCTCCCATGTTTGGAGTTGCCATCCGGGGTCCAGTCATCATTTTTAAATCTTTTCTGCCACCTCATAATTGTGGTTTTATCTGGTGTATACTCCTTTTATACTTTCTTCACAATAGCATAAGTTTGTGTGGCTGAGAGACCAAGTGAAGTATGAAATTAGGCCACAAAACGCAAGGCCTTCTGTTATCAGGTGAGAATTGCAGCCATTTTTGCAATTTCTTGACTGTGACTGAATTTGAATTTGTGACTATTGAACTCTGGTATTATGACATCACATTGCTAATTGTCATTATTTGTACTTGGTTAATATCATACTGAATAGATATAACAATTTCCCAAACATTTTGACCATTTAAAAGAAATAAATATTAATAAAATAATACTTTGGATCTTTTCATAATTAGAAAAATTGGTACCTGCCCCGCCCACCCCTACCCCCATGTTGCTATAACAACCATATTAAGACTTAATATTAATGTTTGATGCTGAAACTTCAGGATATAACAAATAAAACTTTAATTGTATTATACACAAAATTTCAGCTGAATTGAGGAATATTAAAGCAAGTTAGAGCATATAGTGCATTACTTCTGGGACAACCCTCGTATACTTACAAATAAATGTAAAAATAGTCGAGAATATTTAACATGATCGAAATTGAAAATTGAACAAAAATCAGTTATTATTGGCACTATGCTGTAATCTTAAAGATTTTGACAGGAAGTGACGTAATCGACTATTCAGCGTTATTGACGGCAAGGGGATCCTTACCTTCTACGCAGAGACCACTCAATGCTTGTCAACGTATTCAAAATGAAGACGTTGAACTTCAATCCTAGACAATACCTTTTCCTGTACTGTGATATGGAAATTAAAAACCGATTACATCATTTCCTCATGTAAGACACACTTAAATGATAAAATTTGAAACTTCACATTTGGCATTTAAGTTGACGAGAACATATATTTTATGGTACTTTAGCTGCAGTCTTGAGTCTTACTGTGGGCAGTAGAGCAAAAAATGACATAAATAAGTACCTGGGGTTGGAGTTCTCAAGAGTGAACTCAACAGTTGAACCCTTGGGAAAGTTAGATAGCTTTAAAAGTTCTTCCCCGATTTTCTCAAAATTTGAACCAACTCGAACAAGATGGCCGGCGTCGTTTGCAACCCTACAGAACATGCTGTTCCTGTCGTGCTCATTGAAGGCAAAGTCCACCATGTAGCACGAACCACCCAATTGGAAGTCGTTGAAACCATCAGGGCATGTACCTTAATTAAATCAAAATTAAATAATGTATAAATATAGTGGAAAAGACCGTCTTAGAAGTAAGCTTAATAGAAACCATCAGTGTGAAATCATCATCATAAATAGACATCAACAACTGGGGCAATCTTGATTTCCTTTTCCATCGGAAAGAATTAAATTATCTCATAAAAATATCGGGTCTTGCAGTCGTCCCCTCTAATCCAAGTTGCATGTGCAAAATGAAGCGGGAAATACAGTATGTATAGTATCATAAAACAATAAATTAAACTGGAAGAAATATTTAGTGTAACAGACATGGTTGCCATGGATTTCCATGCAGCTCTTTATTAGGTTCTCACCTGTTGATGGAATGTCCATCTCACAGAGTAATTGGGACATGCCGTCACAACTCTCTTTAGTTTTATAGAATTTCCCGGGGTTGTTGTGTTTGTTCCTCCTGTTTGTGAGAATCACACATTTACGGTCCTCTTGTTGGTTCACATACTCCTTGTATCCTACAATGACCAAATCAATGGTTTTTCGTTCAGTGTAGCACTACACTAAGTCAAGAAGCCGGGTATTCAATCTCGGGAATATGTTGAGGGCGTTGGTTAGGTTGGACTTGTGTTTATTCTTGACGGGATTCTTGATTATTTTATGCCATTCAAAAACGTACACTCCTTCCGGCTTGACACAGAATCCCGATTTGCAAGCATTGCCCAACAAATCAAAATGAAACAAGGCAAGAACATGCAAAATGTCACTACCTGCCATTTTTTCAGGTGCCGACTACCGAACGATGTTACAGACGCCGAAAAATGAACGCTGAATACCGGCCAGGTATTGATCCCTGATTACTTGGCATGAAAATGAAGTTTCTTAGTTTGTACCTACCAGTCCAATATTTTATTCGGAATTCTTTGAAGCTCGAAAATCCCGCATCGGGTACCGCTGCTAGTAGTTTTCCCAATTCTCGTGCCTCCCTTGGTGTGTCGATAGCAGCGATATCTCCTCCCTTACGCGCACATTTTGGTCTCACGGTATTATGCGATACTGGAGTCAAATCAAACCAGTAGCAACTGTCTCCAATAGCCATTGGGAAATCCTCTGGACATTTTCCTGAAAATTGTACAAACGAAGCTGAAAGCATGAAGTAATGTTATCCCAGGATTTAATCAACTTTGTGTAGTTTCGTGTAACACTGTATGAAAGACGTTAGCTGCTATTCGCTATTTAATTTATTCCAACGACAATTATAAATCAACGTTTTATTAATACCTGATGCATCTTTCCGTCGTTCACAGAGTGTTTGAACGTTACTTTGGCGGCAATCCTCGAATTTCCAAATGAATTTACTCCGGGATTTTCCCTGGTAGCGCCAGTTTGTGAATAACATGCAATCTGTAAAAAATAAAACCACAAAATTCTATAAAACCTTTTAATTTTAAATAACCTGTAAAATGACCGAACTTGATTTCTAAAGGTTCTCATTTGGTTTATTCCTTCCATTGAATCCCATGTTAAATTGCTTCTTTAAAATGATTGAATCCCATGTTAAATTGCTTCTTTAAAATGGTTTATCCCATGTTAAATTGCTTTTTTAAAATGATTGAATCCCATGTTAAATTGCTTCTTTAAAATCATAGAATCCCATGTTAAATTGCTTCTTTAAAATGGTTGAATCCCATGCTAAATTGCCTCTTTAAAATGATTGAATCCCATGTTAAATTGCTTCTTTAAAATGATTGAATCCCATGTTAAATTGCTTCTTTAAAATGATTGAATCCCATGTTAAATTGCTTCTTTAAAATGATTGAATTCAATGTTAAATTGCTTCTTTAAAATGATTGAATCCCATGTTAAATCGCTTCTTTAAAATGAAGAAACCAAACATCGAAATGTTGAATTTGGTGTATTCAAATATCAGAGTTGGGCATTGACCCCTTTTAAACTATAAACATATAAAGTCAAAAAACTGACCTCGAGGACTATTTCGATCGATGTCTCGATACTCTGCAATAGAATTTGCCACCAACACTCCCGTCACCAACAAGAAAATGTGACCCGCCGACATGTTAAAACATCTGCGAATTGTAACTCGGAGATCTCGACCGGACGATTGAAACCTGAACTCTGAATTGTCGATTGTCTCATTTTACTTTAAGTAATCTTATGATGGCAAAAATGATTGAAGAGAGGTTTTCAACTTGAAAATCAGATGATCTGTCAATGCCAGCGCTGAGAACGTTTCCAAAAATAGAAAACTCAAAAAGTAAATCAATTTTGTGTAAACAAAATCGTACACCTTATGTCATACAAAACAAAAGCAGTGTAACTTGAAAGAAAACAGATTGAAGGCCTTGATATGCCATGATGTAGATAATAACCCACTTGAGGAAAAAAGGCCATAAGGCCCCAAAAGTGGGCCTTTTTGGCCATTATACTGGGCCTCGTAAGGCCTTATTTTTTAATTTCAGGCCAAATTTGGAAGAAAATTACCCTCTAAATTTCAAAATTTGGGCCCACTTTTCGGTTTTAGGGGCCCTGTAGCTCAACAAAAAACACAAAAACCCTGGATCCCAATCATGAGGAGTTCACTAGGTACTTCGAGCTGCCTAATTGCGAACGTAGGTAAACACACGTGTCAGGAAATTAATATTTAGAAGTACCCAACGTCAAAAAATATTTGAATTGTAATTTGAACAATGTTCATTATGTTTTTACATTTTCAAAATGTGTCATCGATAGACATTTCAAGATTTGATATTTGATTTGATATAAAATCTGTATTCTGTTAAACCTTGGCTAAAGTGAAAGGACGATAGGGTCGAGTTGACGTTACGAACACATTTCATAAGAACCCTTTAAAACATTTTAAAAACTTGTAAGAAGGGGTTTGAAAGATGATCGAAGACGATTTAACTATTATATAGAGTCAAGTTGAACCTAACGTATGCATGGATTCTTAAAATGTCAATGTTTGAATTGAGTAATTATTTATGCCGTAACACTGATCCAAAATGTTCCAGTAGGTCTACTGTGCTTCTTGTTTGGAGATTAGTCTGAGCTCGATTTTTAAGCCAAGGCTATCACATATATAAGAGCATCGTGCAATATGTCAAAATTCAATGTTTAAATTCTTTTCACAGTAGCAGAAAAGCTCTACGCTCGCTCGTGCAAATATCCAATCCGTTTCTAGATAATTATAACATCGTGCCACTCGTGACTAATAAATCATAGGATATCCTATACAGTATATTGAAAATACCCTTTTGCTTTGTCTTTGCAAATGTTTACTTTTTTGCAAACAAAAACTTACCCTGAGCCCCGCCCTGAGCGCAGAGTCCAGTTATAAACTACAGACGAAGTTCTCTTATAAGTGAAATCGAACGAATGCAAATGCATATGGTTATAACAAAAACTTTGGCAAACACTATAAAATATCCACATCGATGTTAATTAATCATTAAATCCATAAAGATTTCATGGAAATATACATATACACTGCATTTTACTATTCAGGCCCGTAGCCAGGGGGATTCGAGCAACCCACTCCCTGGCCAAAAAATCATGCAGTTTTTCACAATTCTCAGCACTTTTTAAGTGATTTTAGCCATTTTGGACCAAAATTGTCACAAGTGAACTCCCCCTGGTATTTTTCAAAAAGTGAACCCCCTTGGCAAATCCTGGCTACGGGCCTGCTATTTTTACGCAGATCATCATGTGATATTTAAATCATCACTCAGTGATTCAATTTCATGATACATAAGGCTTACTTCCTGGTCGAAAATTGAACACGGGTTTTATATATCACTAAAATATAAGAGCTCAATACTTTAGTTAATAATAAATAAATAAAACACATAATTTAGTTCAATAATAATTTATTATTGAATTGTAAGACTGACCACTATAAATAAACTAAAACTAAATAAACTATATCTCGGTCAATATTATAATTCAAATTTCAACTAAAATCCATATCCAATCCCTCCCAGTAGATAACCTCTGACTATAGATATATGAGATATATATTGGATATGCGGTTTATCTCGGGGAGAAATACACATTTCCTATATGAAACAAGGGATATTGAGACTAGTAATCGGAGCAAAAAGAAATGCATATGCCGAAAGTTAAGACTCGGTCATATTTGCTCAACGGTGTATGTAGCCTCACAAAGTCGATATAGAAAAATATACATCGAACTGCTCATCCCTATATTATGCTGCATATTTACATACAATTTTATTTTAGCTACGGCCGCCATAGATAAAATGTGACTGGTACATTAGAAGTCCAAATTTTGGGATTTTTGGCAGATTTTTCCTTTACATATGAATCACATGTTTTTTATGATCTCTTTTAGGGCTGTCCGAGGCATCTGTGTTTGAAGTTTTCTCCTAAAGAGTATATCATCAGATTCTAGGTAGGTATGTGTCTGTAAGTAACATTTTACATAGTTAGGAATTGTTGGCAGAGTCTGTTGAAAATCGTCTAGCAAGATTGGTATGAGAACCTGGCTGGGGTGTAACATGTATTGTCTATGAGCGATCAGGAACTCCTCTTTACACCAACCACTATCCAAGAACCTGGGAGATAGCACCATAATCGTGCGCTGGCTTTTCTCAATGGCGTCCGCAATGTTATCAGCAATTGGTCTGCCCACTACGAAATCTCGGTTGTGAATACAGAGTTTGTATTTTGGCTCAAGAATGGGAATTAAAACATCTTTTATCCAGTGGACGTCGTCAATGACATACCCCACAAATGCATCATCCTCCGATCACAGGGTTTCAAAATCCAGAACATATTCTTTCTTTTTACCCCTGTGATAAGCAGTAACCATTTCCCCGATTAAGAACTCGCAATCTGATTGGCTGTCGCAACACTGCGACAGAAATCATGTATAAGTCATTGCGCATAATTAGATCACGTGACTCAGTTAAATCGGGCGCGTCCAAATTGATTATAGCAGGGGGAAGAAGGAGGTACGGATTCTGGACACCTGCCTAGGAGGATGCAAATGCATCGTATTGTTTGTCTTCAGGGTGTTCTGGGTATTCCGTCTGTTTTCTAATAAGCAGTATTAAGACATCCTTAAAACAGAATAAAGTCATCGGAATGAAAATAAAAAGAATCATACTACAAACCGGAATAACTACAACAACTCCAAAATTCACATTACACAAGTCTACGTGGACTTCCCGTTCTATGATAGGTTCTGTTTCACCAACGCATGTTATTTTTCTACTTTTATGTAACACATAACGGTCGGTTAGACTTCGAAGCCATGCTTTGATCCAAACCGTATTACAACTGCACACTAATGGATTTCCGTGAAGAGAAATGTTTTTTAGATTCTTCACTAAGGGCAATCTTTTTGGCAGATATTCCAAGTTATTGTTGTACAAAATAAGTTGTTCTAAGTTGGTCAGATTTTCTATAGCTGCACTATCGATACTTTTTATTTGATTGTGTGATACATCCAATATGGCCACATCATTGAAGTATGATCTGTACTGCAGATCTTCAATGTAATTATCACGTACATAGATGTTTATCTTTTCATTGTCAGATTGAACACGAGGAAGGGTTGGGGGTAGACCTGTCAAATGTTTATTGCTACATTCAATTATGAGGCGTTTCAAACTGGGACTCCGAATACATCTGCAATATACAGGACATCCATCCGTGACGTCACACACGAGGTCACCAGCATTTACGAGGGATAACTTACTGCCGTGTAGCTCAGGAGGGTACATGCATACCAAGGAATGCTCTTCCCAAAATATGAACCTTGCTAGCTGACTAGAGTTCCCCAAACTAGTAGGAGATAACCATTTCGGCAAAGATGTATGCCGTTTTATAAGTTTAAGCATTCTTTGGACGTCAAACATATTACAGTCACACGTGATTGGGTTTTTTGAGAAGTCAGCGAATAGCTGTGCCTGGACGGCAAGGGTGGTAATAATGAACTGGAGCCAACCATCTAATGTGGTTAGAGAAAATGGTCTAAAAAGATCAAGATTTATGTACTTAAATTGATTATATTTTAAATCCATAAAAGCCAAATATTTTTTGTTTCGGAAATCCTGACGAACTTTGCCGTTGTAATTATGAAACGATTCGAGATTGTTATGCGAGAAATCAAATACTTTATGTGTTTCCCCTTGCGCCTTCCCTATCAGCTCAAATATATACGTGTCCACTGATTGAAGGTCATTAAAGCTTACATTCAGGTACATGAGTTCATAGTTATCTAAAAATGCGTTCCTTTGTATTTCGATTATTCTATTCTGACTCAGGTCGATTGACACTATGTGCGACAGTCTACTAAACAATCCAGTTGGAACGACCTCAAATTTGTTATTCCACGACTCATGTGAATCCCTGACCATCCAGCTTACCAACTCAAAAAATAAAAACATCCTAATCTCAATTATATATAAACCTCCTAACACTAATCAAGAGGAATTCAATACTGATCTTCAAGCACTTCTTGATACTATCTCCAAGGAAAAAAAACAGTGTATATTCTTGGTGATTTTAATTGTGACCTTTTAAAAGCAGAAAGCAACCATGCTACTCAGGATTTTTTAAATCTATTTTACTCACATAACCTTATACCACTTATCTATAGACCAACCAGAATAACCAGAAACACTGCGACTCTAATTGACAATATATTTACAAATGCTCCAAGTATTTCTAGAGCAGGTATTATTCTTGAAGACATATCTGATCACTTTCCAATATACGCCCTTACTGAAATGCAAGCCCAAAAAATTAAAACGTCCACAGTTTCATTCAGGCAATTTAATAACACCAATAAATCAAGCTTCAAAGAACAAGTCAAAACTATGATATGGCATAATATTGAAAATACTAACGATGTAAATGAAGCTTATTCCAATTTTGATAAAGAACTTTCAATCATATTCAATCAATGTTTTCCTATAAAAACATTCAAATCTTCATATTACTTTGACCCCTCACGCCCATGGCTTTCAACTGCAATACTGACATCAGCGAAACGTAAGAATAATTTATACAAAAAATTCATCCAATACCCCAATGAACATAATAAGAAAATCTACAAATCATTCAGTCATAAGCTCAAGCATATTATTAGATATGCCAAACAAATGCACTTTGAAAACAAATTTGCAATGGTGAGTGGAAACATGAAAAAAACATGGCAACTAATAAATCAAGTGTTGGGGCGCTCAAAGTTCAACAAAACATCAACTGTCCCTATGCTTATTAACGGGGTCCTCAGTAATGATAGTTCAAAAATATCCAATGGTTTCAATAATTATTTTGCCAATATTGGTAAATCATTGGCAGATAAAATCCCCACATCTAATTCATCCTTTAAAGAGCATCTCAAGAAGATTAAACAAGTCTCTTCATCCTTATTTTTCAGCCCGATAACAGAAAGCGAGCTATCAACAGAAATGACAGCCTTAAAAAATACAGCCGCGCCAGGCCTTGATGGGTTCAAGGCTGATATAATAAAATCTGTTGGTGCTTATCTCGTCAGGCCACTACTATATATCTTCAATCTCTCACTATCAACTGGAACATTTCCCAATCAATTAAAAGTAGGAAAAGTCACACCAATTTTCAAAAAGGGAGATACTCAGCTCTTTTCAAATTACAGGCCCATTTCAGTGTTATCCGTATTTTCAAAATTACTCGAGAGATGCGTACACTCTCGCCTTGTAAGCTTTCTAAACAAATTTGAAATACTTTATAAAAACCAATTTGGTTTCCAGAAGAAAAAGTCTACATACATGCCACTTCTAACTTTTATTGAAAAGATAAGATGTGCAAATGAAAGCAAAATTCCTTCACTAGGGATATCATTAGACTTCTCAAAAGCATTTGACACTATTGATCATAATATATTATTAGATAAACTCTCACACTACGGAATGCGCGGTGTTACCCTTTCTTGGTTTCAAAGTTACTTAACTCAACGTCTTCAGACTGTTATTTCTAATGGCTGTAAATCGAAACAAACCTCATTATCTCATGGTGTCCCTCAAGGTTCAGTGCTTGGTCCTATTTTATTTCTTCTTTACATAAATGACATCTACAAATCCTCTGATTTCTTTGAATTCATACTATTTGCTGATGATACCAATCTCTTGGCCTCTCACAAAGATTTACCCACTCTATTTGACACCGCAAATGAAGAACTTTCAAAGCTCAGTGACTGGATCAATGCCAATAAACTTTCTTTAAACATTGACAAAACTAAATGGATTCTCTTTGGACCAGGTAAAACTTCTAACAATCATTTTCTCAAAATAAATGACACCAAACTCAAGCAAGACATCACTATATCTTTCTTAGGAATAGCTATTGATGCCAATTTAACTTTCAAAGAGCATATCAAAAACTTAGAAAAAAAGATTTCTCAGTGCATTGGGGTCTTGTATGGAGTCCATAATCTTTTAACAAAAAGTGCTTTGCTCAGTATATACTACTCTCTTATTCACTCTCAACTTAATTACTGCAATATTATTTGGGGTAACAACTACAAATCTTATCTTAATAAAATTCACATGATTCAAAAACGATTTGTTCGCATTGTTTTAGGAAAAAAATACCTTGATCATACAGCTCCATTATTCAAAGAACTTAATCTTCTGAATATATATGATATAAATAAGCTGAATACAGCAATTTTCATGTACCAAGTAAAAGATGGTGACCAAATACTAAATTCTCTACTCGATACAAATTTCCAAATAAACTGTGATACACATAGTTATAATACCCGCCAATGTGACAACTTCCATATTGAACATGCGAACAAATTTTCCATAAAACGGAATGGGCCTTCACTATGGAATTCTCTTAAAAATTCCACAAAAATGTCAAAATCTATAACCTCCTTTAAAAAGGCCTACAAATCTGACCTCTTGTCAAGCTACTTATAAAAAATCTGTCTTATTAAACATCTTTATTTACTATCCACGCATTGTATATTACAATAGTCATGGCACATCATTTAAACACAACGTACATACATGCTTAGTGTATGCATTGTACTATGTTATATCATGTAAATACTTGTATATATGAAACTCATATACCTATATACCCTTGTAAACTAGTTAGACTATATATATATATTTTTTATATTTGCTAGTGATACTTTTTTTTGGTACTTGACATTATACTTTTATATGCCATTTGGTGTCAGTATTAGTCATGTATTATTATTGTATATACATTTTTTCTAAATAAATAAATAAATAAAAAGTCTAAATAAATTCTTCAAAATTATATGTTGCAAATTGGAACAGTTATTGAAAATGTCACTTTGGATTTCCGTCAAGTTATTATTTGATACATCAAGCCATATCAAATCTCCAGAATCACAGAACTGGCGAGGAATGTCCTGCAGAATATTATTACTCAGGTCTAACCCTATTGTTTGTTTGTCTTCCGGATACCTGCAACTTATTTTTATTTCATCTTGTAGTACTAGTTCCCCGCATTCCAAGTGAACTTCTTGGATTGTCATAAACAATATACAAATTATAACCATCAATAAGTCCATATTGTTTTACTAGCTCTTTTAGGCTTTGTGTTTGATACTGTGGATCTCTCAAAACGTGATAGTATATAATGAAAATAGTGATTATGATAGTGAAACATGTCTGGAAACTTCCTTCTCTGTCATGCCATCGATACATGTTCACAGTCATCAGCTTTTGACTGAACAATTAAATCATAGCTTAATACATATCACACCATTTTGAGTGATTTCATTTTATCGCCGAGTGTAATGAGTGTAGATAAATGATATCACCAGGAATGATCTGAAATTGGGTTTACCCCATGATTACGATCAGCATTTCGTTATGTTCTACCCTTTGCATTCGTTTGACTTCACTTCTTAAAAGAGAGCTTCGTCTGTAGTTTTACAGATTTACACAATTACTTGCTTTTCTTGTTGGGTTTCCTTAAAGTTTTTAGTCACCCTTCCCTTTTGGCATTTGTGCTTATATATTTAACTAGACTCTGCACGCAGGGTATTATGTTCTGATCCAATTTCCCAGACAATTCTACCAATGCCACTGTTCCACAACTAGTTACTTTGACGGAGCGTCAATGTAACAAAATGGATGAACTTCCTGGTTAAGAGTTTTTTGTTTTCTCGATTATAATTTGGCACAAAGCTAAAAAATATAGTATTTTAATAAGTTTCTTCCATTGGGAATTTGTTTAGTCAATGAAGTTTCAATTTATATATTTAACCCCTTGCTTTTGTAACATTGATATGACGAAGGTCACCAATGTTACTTTGACGACTTACGTCAATGTAACAAAAGCGATGGTCTAATGCATGAAGTCAGTACAGCTTTATTTAAAAATCAAATTCAAAATCGAGAACATTTCTAAGAGCTCGACTATATTGTTTAACTTTGTGCCAAATGATAATCCGCAACCTGACATGAATTTGTAACGACCCTTGATAGCAAGTTGCTACTACAGCCCAGCTGTAGTGGCTTAAGCCTTTATAGCTCAGTAAGTAGAGCATCAGTCTTTGGATCCAAGGGTCCAAGGGTCCTAGGTTCGATTCTCACACGGGGCATTGAATTTAGCACACTTTCTTTCAATTACTTTATCTGGCTTGTTACACTATACTCATTATAGTCGTTAGTTAATTAGTTATTCCCCTGGGGCGCCCTCGGGTCATTACATTGGTGTCAGATGTGGGATCAGAGCATTGGTTGTATCCTTTGCGCCCGTGTGTGTGTGATAGTCACTGCTAGGGAAGCGGGGCTGACCACTAGGGCGTGGTCCTTTCAAAGGGGGAGATGGTGTAACGACCCTTGATACCAAATTGTAGTGGCATAAGCCTTTATAGCTCAGTAAGTAGAGCATCAGTCTTTGGATCCAAGGGTCCTAGGTTCGATTCCCACACGGGGCATTGAATTTAGCACACTTTCTTTCAATTTCTTTATCTGGCTTGTTACACTATACTCATTATAGTCGTTGGTTAATTAGTTATTCCCCTGGGGCGCCCTCGGGTCATTACAAATTATACGTAAGTTAAATCGAGAAAAAACGTATCCAAGATACAAAAAACGTATCCAGGAAGTCTATCCATTTTGTTACATTGACGTTCCGTAGTAACTAGTTGTGGAACAGTGAATGCGCTGTGCAATATCTATCTACGCTGATATATAGTGTAAAGTCCGTCATACCATTTTAATCGTTATTTAGCAGCATCCCGGCTATTCAAACCACATACACAAATCCACTGACGGATTCAGGAGCTAACAAGAGGGTGGGGGGGGGGCAGATTTCAAGTTCTACATAAAATGTCATTTCTTGATAATTTGGCCTAAAAGTTTTGCCAAAAAGGGCCCTTAACGAAAGGGGCCCTTAAAAAATGTCTGGCCCAACCCAAGGGGTGGGGGGGGCATGGCAATGTAATTTAATAAATTATCTGACCTATTAATTCCAACATTAAATGGGTATATTTATTGAGCCTAGACAGTAGACACCAGAAGAGGTAATCTGGCAGAGGTCCGTAGTTTCACTTTAACTAAATGCTTGACCGACCAAGCCAAGCTATTTGGCCTAAACGCATGTTCGAAGCTATGGCTTGTACCTTTGTGAGTGTGCTGTTTAACTCATGATTGTGTTCAGATATGCACATCACGACTGTGTTGTCCAATTTAATAATTGCAGTTCAAAACGCTAATGACTCGACCTCGATTCAGTCTTACTGCAGCTCACGATTTAGTTCAATCAATTAGTTCACAATAATACAGAGTACAAAATCTTGCAAATTGATCGATCCCTACCGGAACTAGTCCACCGGAAGTAAATAATAATAATATAGTCAAGAATAACATTTCGATTTTCTCATTTGTTGCCAAAATCTAGCGCTATTTTGAACAAAGGGGTAAGTAATTTTGTAATTATTACAACAGGTAAATGAAATGGATGATTGAGGTAGCTTTTGTATCGACAAATCGCGCCCACTTTCTCTGCAAGATCTCCGCGATGTATTGATTATCGCGATAACACAGTCTATTGCAAGCTAGCCTACTCATTGGCTTTCATGATTGACTCATATGGGCTGATTGACTCAGTCAGTGCATTTCTGATCTCAGTCAGTCAGCACCTTCTAAATATCCTCAATATCTACGAGCTGCAAGCGATTCTGATCATCTAGTATCAAAATAATTCTTAGAGTATACAAAATCAACAAAGTGAGAGAAAATGTGAAATATACACCAACTCAATGATTATTACCGTGGGCTTTACCACCGATAGAGCCCATGTTATTACCAAATATAAACCAGAGTCAAAACCAGAAGTCAAAAGAAGTATTGCCGACAGCTTGGCGGGCGGGCTTTGGGCGGCGTCTCACTTTTCTTGTCATCACAATTTCAGGAAAACCACTTGATGGATTTACTTCAAATTTTCACACATGTTACAGGGTTAAGTTAATTTAATTTGTCAAGAAATACTAGCAATCAGATTTCATTTTATTCTTTCAAAACTGAAATTAACTTCACATAACATGCAGCTTTGTCAACTGGCCAACATTTCTAAAAATGTAATTACATTTTGTGTATTTTGCTTTCAGATTTACTTGCAAGATAAACAGTGTGGAGTGAGCATCCCACACCTTTCAATAAACAGCATTCAAATTCCTGAGATTTGACATTATTTACCCTGAGACATGTGAGATTGGACATTGTATGACATAGGATTTGGCATTGTATGCCCTGAGATAAGACATTGTATGCCCTAAAATTGGACTGCGTGGAATACACCCTCAGAAATATATACAGGTATTGCACTCAACATCATTCAATATTTGTATAGTATTTGATCTAATAAACGCACAATGTGTTTCCCAAATTCTCCTCAAGGAGACGTCTCCAATTACAAAATCCCTTGGGATTTTAGAAAGGGGCATGTATGGGCGATAATAGGGTATATCATGATTTTCCCCTTCCTCCAATGTGACTGGCATGAATGTATGTTTGTGTGGGTAAAGGCGGAGAAATATTTCTGGATCAGAAACTCCCATAATGCATAGAAAATGTTATGTCGACCGGATCGCTCAAGTTAGAATTAACATTCATTAGCTTTTAACTCATCACTTTAAGGTTATCATGATCTTTATAATTTTAAAGTTTCCGAAGACAAGTCTGTAACAACATTATGGACAGAAATGGCTAAATCGATAGCAGAAAGTGATTTATTCAACTAACCCTATTATCGCCCAGTTATGTAGGTGGGTGGGCGTTTATTGGATCGGAGTATGTGCATTTATTAGAGGGAATATGGTATACATAATTAAGGTGACGGTTTGGCATCTTATATTCAGGTTAAACATTGGATATAGATATTTAAAAAATATTTTTAAACTTTGCAAACTTTTTTAAATGGAATTAAGATGTACTGATGAATCATTAAATCATAATGCCCAGCATCGATCAAGAATTTACAGAGTTTTATAAATATATTTTTGTTTGCATTTATTAATTTCTCGAAATTCTGTATGTTTGGTCTTGTGCAATAACAGTAAGGATAAATAATTTCTCCTTATTTTCAGGTTTACAATGGATGTAGAAAAAGATCACAGAACAATGAATGATATGAATGAGACTTTTCAATCTAAAATGCATGCCAAACAAGGGGAACTTGAAACATTTATAAAAACAGAAATCGAAATTGATGATTACTCTGAATCTACTATGGATGATGCAACAGCCAAAACCAATGTTGATGTCATATCTGAATTGTCATCTGCAGAGCACAACAATTTTGATATGCCATTCTTTATTAAAACAGAACCTGGAGTTGATGTCATATCTGAATCTGCAATTGATAATACAGCAGCCAAATTTAGTATTGATGTCATATCTGAATCTGCCATGGACAATACAACAGTCAATACTAGTATTGATGTCATATCTGAATCACCATCTGCAGAGCACAATAATTTTGATATGCCAGTCTTTGTTAAAACAGAACCAGGTGTTGATGTCAGTTCTGAACACACCTTGGACTTAAACAATGATATTGACGTATTTAGTAAAACAGAATCATACGTCAACTCTGAACTTGCAATGAAGGATATGTACAATGGTTTTGACAAAGTTGTCAAAACTGAACCTGGTAGCTATGACGACAATGAGTATGCTAAAGAGGACAGCACTGCATCAGAAATGTTTGTTAAAATTGAACCTGGTGATGATGAGAACACTGAGTATGGTGAAGAGGACAGTTCTATTACAGAAGCGTTTGTTGAACCAGGGAGCGACGATAAAACAGAAACAGATGATGATGTCATTGATAATGACAGGGATGATGACAGTGATTATGTCGCAGATGGTGTCATTGATAATCCCAGAGATGATAGCTTGACTAGGCACACTGGAGATAAGCCATTTTCATGTAATTACTGTGACCAAAAATTTAGCGAACGTCGACTCTTAAAACAACATAAGCAAATACACACTGGTGTTAAAATTGTTAAAAAACAATTTACATGTAATGTTTGTGAGAAAACATTTTCAAAAAGTTATATTTTAAAAAGACATTTGATGCTCCACACAGGGGAAAAGCCATACAAATGTTCTTTTTGTGACAGAGGATTTAGACAAAATAGTCACTTGAAACAACACGAAAAACTTCATACTGACGAAATACCAAACAAATGTCCAATTTGTTGCAAAAAGTTTCGTTCAGCTGAAACCTTAAAACGCCATATTTGCGGGGAATTTGGAGGTCAGAAACGTTACAAATGCTCTTTTTGTGACAAGCCATTCAAACATCTAACCGAAATGAAAAACCATGAACTGACACATACTGGTGAAAAACCATTTGAATGTTCAATTTGTAACAAAAAAATTAGAACATCTTCTTACCTCAATATGCATGAAAGGACTTGTATGAAAGAAAACCAAATACAGGTATGTTCCGTATGTAACAAATCCTTTAAGTGTGAACGGTCTTTTAAAAGACATAAATTGTTACACACTCGTGTCGAGCCATACACATGTTCCATTTGCCGTGAAGTTTGTAAAAGTTTAAGGGCCTTAGAAGTACATAAAATGCAGCATAATGGTAAAAGTCTACTTTTATGCTCTACTTGTGGAAAGGGCTTTTTGTCCCCCTCAGACTTAACCCGACATGAAATGATACATACTGGCGAGAAACCACATTCATGTTCTATTTGTGGCAAAAAGTTTTCTCGAGCTAATGCTTTAAAAACACATCAAACTACTCACACTGGAGAAAAACCATATTCATGTTCTATTTGTGGCAAAAGATATTCTCGGGCTGATGGTTTGAAAACACATCAAAACATTCATACTGGGGAAAAACCACATTTATGTTCTATTTGTGGCAAAGGCTTCTATGGGGCTAGTGCCTTGAGAACACATAAAAATGCTCACACTGGAGAAAAACAATATTCCTGTTCTGTTTGTGAAAAAACATTTCAACAGAATGGTCATTTGCAAGAACATGTTCGGATTCATACTGGTGAAAGATTCCAATGTTCAAAATGTGAGAAAACATTCTCACAGTCTGGCTCAATGAAAAGACATGAAAGATCACATACAAATATGCCCAAACCCTGTGAAAAACCATTCAAATGTACCTTTTGTGATAAACGTTTCCCTTGTGCTTCTAATGCAAAAACACACGAGAGAATCCACACTGATGAACGACCATATTCTTGTTCTGTCTGTGACAAAACATTCAGATTTGTGTCCGGTTTAAAGTTTCACGAAGAAAAACACTCTCGTGAGAACCTGTATTCATGTACATTTTGTGGAAAAAAGCATTCCTCGTCTAAGTCTTTAAAGACACATGTTAGAATACATACTGGTGAAAAACCGCACGTCTGTTCTACTTGTGATAAAAAATTTACTTCTTGTAACGACTTAAAAAGACACGAAAGACTTCATACTGGCGAAAAGCCATATAGTTGTTCTATTTGTGACAAACGGTTTACTACTAGTGGTAGCTTGAGATCACATGAACAAACGCACGCTGGTATAAAATCATATGCGTGTGATATGTGTGACAAAAAGTTTGTTCATTCTAGTAACTTGAAATCTCATCTAAAGACACATACGTCATCACAAAATAATGCAAAGATGAATGAAAATGTACACAATGATGAATCACAAAACGATGACAAGTCAAATGAAAATGCACATACTGGCGAATTACAACACAATGAAAAATTAAAATTAAGTACATCCAGTATTGTAACAAAATGATGCAATATCGTCTGTAAATTAAAACAATATTTTATCATTATCTCAACGAACGTAGTTCAGTAGTGAGATAGTGAAGCCCTCCGTCCGTCAGTCCGGAAGATAACTCGAAAACTAGTCGATGTATTTTGTTCATATTTGGTAATAAGATATATAGGTAAATGGTATATTGGCCAATAGTTGTACGCAACCCAAAAAATCCAATATGGCCGCCGCTTTAAAAATGGCGGGCAATTTTCGTGAAAATCTTAAGTTTTTGATTTTAAACCAAAGTAATAAATATTATTATCTATATTATTATCTATATATTCCGAATTTTTCACCTTGACCCCCAGGGTTGAGAAAACGCAGTAATTTGCGTTAATTTTGAGATCTTTCTGAAGTATAGCTTTTTCTACTCAAATGAAAGGCAATTTAGAGTAGATTCGTTTTTGTAATTCGGGCCTGGTAAAATTCAAATTCAAATTTCGCCTTATGTGAGATTTCGCAATAATTTTCTCATCTCTTCAAAGCACGGCTTTATTATACTCAAATCTAAGGAAGTTTAGGGTAGATCATGACTATGGTATTGTCTTTCTGATTTGTGCCTCAGAAAATTCAAAATGGCTGCAAACAGGAATTTTTGTTAATTTTGAGATCTTTCTAAATAAAGATTTATTATATTCAAATGAAAGGCAATTTAGAGTAAATTGCATCTATCGTATCTTTTTCTGATTTGGACCTTGTAAATTCAAATTGGCAGCCTTTCGCAATAATTTTCTAATCTCTTCAAAGTATGGCTATATTATACTCAAATCTAAGGAAGTTTAGGGTAGACCATGACTATGGTATTGTCTTTCTGATTTGTGCCTCAGAAAATTCAAAATGGCTGCAAACAGGAATTTGTGTTAATTTTGAGATCTTTCTAAATAAAGCTTTATTATATTCAAATGAAAGGCAATTTAGAGTAGATTGCAACTATCGTATCTTTTTCTGATTTCGACCTTGTAAATTCAAATTGGCAGCCTTTCGCAATAATTTTCTCATCTCTTCAAAGTATGGCTATATTATACTCAAATATAACAAATCCAGAAATCTCCGGTCACTTTCTTTATCAGGAGAGCTGTCAACACATCTGATAAGAAGTGTTCTTAGCAGCTCTAGTGAAACTTGATGCTATGTTGGTCTAATACAAGATGCAGCCTACTTGTAAATAAAATACGTTATCCATGTACGTGATATATGGTTCAACAAAAAACAGCAACTAAAAAACAACAACTAAATATGAGAAACTTATGTGGTATATGCCATGTTTATGTGTCTGATCATATAATCTTCAAATTTTCCATCAATTTCTTAAGAAATTGGCGAAATTAAGGAAACCAGAAAACACATTTAATGAAAGGGCGGTGTTTATAGGCTGTATGAAATGCCCCTGCATTAACGCTCACATATATGAGTTTTAAACAATAATTTAGTAGACTAAAGTGTTGATACGAAATCTCAGTAATAGTACCAGTTAGGAGATAAGGTGATGTCCGATTTAACATTACGATTGCTGGATATGAGGAAGTTTAGGGTAGACCATGACTATGGTATTGTCTTTCTGATTTGTGCCTCAGAAATTCAAAATGGCTGCAAACAGGAATTTGTGTTAATTTTGAGATCTTTCTAAATAAAGCTTTATTATATTCAAATGAAAGGCAATTTAGAGTAGATTGCAACTATCGTATCTTTTTCTGATTTGGACCTTGTAAAATTCAAATTGGCAGCCTTTCGCAATAATTTTCTGATCTCCTCAAAGTATGGTTATATTATTCTCAAATTGAAGGAAAGGGTGGATCACTGTTATTATGGTATTGTTTTCCTGATTTGCGCCTATGAAAATTCAATTGTTATTATTTGTACCTTTGAATTCTTAAATGGTCACCCAAAAGCTTCAATTGGTAGAATAATTATGATATGGCTCTAATGTTTGTATTTTTGTGACAAATACAGATTCATATATATTATTTGTTTATGTTTATGTTTTTTTATGTTTATTTCCTTTTTTAAATTCACACAAATATACAATGCATGAGTGGGTGACACTTAAAAAAGTGTATATTCCCAACAAATTTTTACAATAAAAGTTGTGTGTTGTCATACCTGTTAAAGTGCAGTTGGGGACTTGTCTTTGCATTCGACCATACAAATGTTCATTTTTTGCTTGTCACATCTGAGTAGAGACCCATTGAGTACAAACATACATAATGAGGGGTTGATAGATGGAAGCTGTAAACAGCAGGCTATGTCAGAAATAAATATCAATCGAGTCAAAAGAATCAAAAAACGGTGTTTGATTATAACAATTTTGATAAGCTGAGCGATATGTTATGTCCAGTAATAAAAGAGGACAAATAAGAATACACAAGAGAAGGGGTGGGAGGGATGGCGAGGGCAGTGAGGAGAAAACAAAACAAAATATCAAGTGAATTAATAGCTCTCCAAAAACAGTTTTTTCAGTTCTTTTTAAATATATAGATACTTTTTATTTCTTTAAGTCTTTCTGGTAGTTTGTTCCAAAGTTGTGGTATTGAAAAGGATAAAGATGATCTGCCATAATTTGTTCGAGTTTTGGGTTGGTCATAAGTCGCTCTATTTCTGGTATTATAGGGATCCCTTTCGTGCACCATTCGTTCGTTGGGATTTGCTACTCCGTGGAGTTGCC